ATGACTGAGATATCAACCGATCTGGGCGGGGTTTTTGTAGCCGCTACAACAACAACAACAACAACGAATATGAAGATGTTGCGCAAGCGGTCAGCTTGAAACAGTGCGGTACTGTTTTCAAAGACGAATCGCTTACGGTGATGAGTTGTTTACAATTCATTTAACTGTTTCCAATTGTGAAAAAACGTGTTTTTCAAGAAATTGGCTAAATTTTTGGCAAAATGTAATCAAACGTATTAATTGGCATTCTTGTATATTCGAGAAATTTCTGTCCGTCTTGCCGTAACACATAATACAAGTGGCGAAATTCTCCAAAAGTTTTCCTATACAAATTATTTAATGGATTGCTGTTTTTTCTTTATTTTCTTTTGATTTTATCTAAAACAAGTAAGAAAGTCTAAGTTCGGGCGGAGCCGAACATTAAATACCCGGCGCAAGTATTAAATATATGTTTTCCACCTTTCCGAAAGCTACCGCTACATGATAAGCCGGGGTGTATACATTTTAAGTAAATTAGCGTCCTTAAATTTCGAAATATTGAAATTTCAAGCATATCTGAAATTTACCGTTGTATGAAAAGCGGCCTCAATTTTAGTCCGATTTCAACAATTTTCAACGGTTTGCTTTTATGTGGCAAGCACAATAACCATACCGAGCTTGGTACAAATTGCTAGAACGGTTAGCGAGATACATATATGTGATCACAAGTGGGCGGTGCTACGCCCATTTTCCAAAATTTTGTCATAAACGTATTTCTTGGTAAAGAATTGTTGCAATCATCAATTTTGAATAAATTAGCTTCAATATTTACTGATTTATCGAAGATTTTGTATTTCTCGAAATTACCGTTATATGGGATGTGGGCGTGGTTATTGTCCGATTTTAGAAATTTTCGGCCAGTTAGTATACTGTACCAGGACCAACAACTGTGCCAAGTTTGGAAGAAATTGGTGTAGCGGTTACCAAGATATACACATGTAACCATAAGTGGGCGTGGCTACGCCCATTTGCCAAAATTTTGTAATATTCTTATTTTTCGTCTAAAACTCATTGCAAATATCAATTTTGAGTGAATTATCTTCAGTAGTTACTAAAATATCGCAGTTTTAGTTTTTCTGAAAATTACCGTTATATGGGAGGTAGGTGTGGTTATTGTCCGATTTTTTAAATTTTTAGCCATTTAGTATACTGTACTAAGGCCAACAACTGTGCCGAGTTTGGAAGAAATTGGTGCAGCGGTTACCAAGATATACACATGTAACCATAAGTGGGCGTGGCTACGCCCATTTTCCAAAAATTTATAATATTCATGTTTTCCGTCTGAAACTCATTGTAAGTATCAATTTTGAGTGAATTATCTTCAGTAGTTACTAAAATATCGCAGTTTTCGTATTTCTTAAAATTACCGTTATATGGGAGGTAGGCGTGGTTATTATCTGATTTCGCCCATTTTCAATACCATCCGTCCCACGCCCAAAAGAAGTTCACGTACCAAGTTTCGTTAAGATATCTCAATTTTTACTCGAGTTATCGTGTGCACAGACGGACGGACGGACGGACGGACGGACAGACAGTCACCGCTTAATCGATTTCTCTTTTCATTCTGATCATTTATGTATACATTTGTCTATATCTATCTCGATTCGTTTTGCCTGTTACAAACAACCGTTATGTGAACAAAGTTATAATACCCTTGTGCACAAGTGCGCTCGGGTATAAAAAAAGGGTTTTATTTAGAAACAAATCTTCATATCATTCATCTTCCACTATGTACACTTGCCAGCTTGCCCGCTACGCACGCAATTCGTCTTCGGCTTCGTCTCCATCTTCGTCTTCGGCTTTGCTTCCACTCTGTTTGCAACCTTACTGAATTATGTATGTATGAGTGAAAACTACCGATAGTGCTTACAAAACTATCGATGCTTTCGATAGTCAGAAACCATCATGAACCAATTAGTTGGATCATGAGAATCCATAGTATAGATCAGCGTTGCCACAGACAATTTTTTTCCCCTACCAAAACTTCCTACCAAAATCAACCAAAACCTACCAAATTTTTTTTTTGATTTCTTGAAATTTTTATTCAATGTCAAGTTTATTATAAACGTATATTACTTTACTTTTAGTAAAACTAAAACACAGCTAGTACAACAAAAACAAATTAACTGCGTATAACAATGCATTTTACTGTACAGATTTATGCGACCTAAAAAATCTATTGTTCTAAACCCTAATTGTAGTCTCTCCAACCTTAGGCTATTCAAAAATATAAGCCCTTAGGACGGTGCCAAATTCCAAATTTTAGATGAAGGAGACAATCGTTCTCCAAAGTGTATCGGTTTCCTCCACCAACCCACAAAACCTAAAGTCTGTCTCTACAGTAAGCCCCATTTGATTCAAATGGTACCATAACTTGCAGTGTGCTGTCAAGTAGCCAGTAAGAGTTCTGAGTTCAATGTCTCTTTGGCAGTTCCTCCAGGGAGGAGTTATAAACCTCTTTGATTGTTATCTTGGCCTTCCGCCAAAGGGGCAGCAATTTCAGATTCTTTCCAGCTCCTAAGTAGTTCTGTAGTGTATCCTTTAGATGTACCGCAGAATGGCTCAGGACCATGCAAGCGCATTTCGCCTCCACGCTTTACGAGACAGTCAGCCCTTTCGTTGCTTTCAAACCCTTCATGTCACAGTAAGTTCAAGAGTCCACAAGCCTTGATTAATTAAAAAAATTAATTAAAAGAGTTTAATGCCTTTAACACTGCCGGACTATCCGATACAATATTTATTTTGGCCCCATTTGTCCTACTACGAAGACATTCGCGAACACAGACTTCGATTGCAAAGACCTGCTCCTGGAATATGGCTGGGTACGAGGCTATTCGCAAACTTTTCTGGAATCTTGGTTCAAGTACGCCATAAAGTATTTATGGATGTTCATGTTGTAACGTAATAAGGGCATACGTTTGTACTTACGAACCAGGTATAGTTACATGTTTGACGTCGTTGTTATGCGAACGTACCCGTGAAATACTCGTGTAAACAAGGTTGGTAAAATGTTTGGATACATATTTTCTATTTTTCGCTAATAACTATTATTCATTGTCACGAAACCAAAGAACGTAGATAATAAGAAGGGACAACTCGTTACAATTGTAGCGAAAGTGAGTAGCAGGGGCGTGCCTTTTCTTTTCATCCAATCAAAAAACGTACGAGGGCAAAAGAGAAGGCACGCCCCTGTTACTCACTTTTGCTACTATTATAACGAGTTTTCCCTTCTTATTATCTACGTTCTTTGACGGAACCTGCCAAAATCCTATCTAGCCTACCAACCTACCAAATGGAAAAAAACCTACCAGTTTTGGTAGGAAAAGCCGATCTGTGGCAACACTGGTATAGATCAAGGCGAATTTATACAAGGTGGTGTTGTTAAATCAGCTGATTACTTCGCCTTACAAGTATTTTGTTTTTGCTTTTACTGATTTGACAGCACACCCATCAAAAACAAAAACAAAATACATGTAAATTTTGGGGGCGAATTGAGATTTGGCATAACACCCGCAATACATAATAGGTTCATTCCTTATCTTTTTGGACTAAAATCTGAAAAGTGTCAAAATGCCAGAGCGTAAGCAAAATGCGCCCACTAAAAGAGAATAACAGGAAAAGTAAAGGAACGCAAAAAACCAAATTTTTAGTCCAAAGAATGGCAACAACAAAACTAACGTCAAATAAGAACAGAAATGTACGTTCAAAACACATTCACACAAGCACAAGCACAATAAACACTTGCTATATCAATTATTTTTTGCCTTCTTCCAAGTTCAATTCATTTCTTTTACTTTTTAGATTATTCTCACTTTTAGCGTATTCTTTAATTTCCGTTAATTTAAATTCAGTTGAGTGTGACACTTTTCAGGATTTTGCCAGAAAAAATTCTTCTGACTAAATCTGACTACTTCGGACTGATGAGAGTCACTCTCACTGACTGTTGCTCTCTCATTTTTGCTGTCATTTCCGAGTTAAGCAACGCTTTTTGGACTAAATCTGACTACTTCGGACTTTTTCTGACTATTTCTGGGAGAGAAGGAACGCTCCTAATACATTGGGTTGTTGTTGTTGTAATCTAAATTCGCCAGCGACACCACCTTGTATAAATTCGCCTTGGTATAGATAGTAGTAGCGTTCCTTATCTGCCAGAAAAAGTCCGAAGTCGTCAGATTTAGTCCAAAAAGCGTTCCTTAACTCGAAAATGACAGCAAAAATGAGAGAGCAACACTCAGTGAGAGTGACTCTCTTCAGTCCGAAGTAGTCAGATTTAGTCAGAAGAATTTTTTTTAGCAAAATCGTGAAAAGTGTCAAACTCCACTGAATTTAAATTAACGGAAATTAAAGAATACGCAAAAAGTGAGAATAATCTAAAAAGTTAATTGAAATTGGAAGGAGGCTAAAAATAATTGATTAGTAAGTGTTTATTGTGCTTGTTCTTGTGTGAATGTGTTTTGTAAATACATTTCCATTCTTATTTGACGTTAGTTTTGTTGTTGCCATTCTTTGGAATAAAAATATGTGGGGTGTTCACAGTTCGTTCCAAATTATGTCTGAAAATGTAGACGTCTACATTTTGAGACATCTTTAGCATCAAACTGTGAGCACCCCTTTCTATCAGTCGTCGCAAAATCGTCTCAAAACTTTGCTGGTGTTGCCAGACATTTCCTCTTTGCGTGCATTTTTTATATATCGCCTTTCGACGGCGCCGTTTTCCAATTTTGTATGGGAAACAACAACACCACAGATTTTACGGTTAGAAAACGTCTTAAAATGTAGACGTCTACATTTTCAGACACTATTTGGAACGAACTGTGAACACCCCAATGGTTTTTTGCGTTCCTTTACTTTTCCTGTTATTCTCTTTTAGTGAGCGCATTTTGCTTACGCTCTGGCATTTTGACACTTTTCAGATTTTAGTCCAAAAAGATAAGGAATGAACCTAGTATAGATAGTAGTGCTATCGATAGTTTTCCAGTTCTAAATGATAATTATCTCCTCGAAAAGAAAAGAAACAGAGTTGTTGTTTATTTTACATAGCAATAAATTATTTAGCATTATTTTGCTTTTCTCAGCTTTACGTTTCCCACGTTCTGTAATTACACGAATAAATAAGTTATGATTAGCTGTGATGGAGAATATGAGCAATGCCCGTACGATATCTCACATACGATTTTGAAAAAGAGGTTCCAGGTCCACTTAGGCCGATGCAGGAAGAATCATAAAGGTGTTCAAAAAGTGACTTGCCCCTTCAATGTTACTCATATACTAAATCAACCGGAGCTTGACGTAAGTTTACTTTCTTGTTTAGATGGCTTAAGATAATTTGGTTCTTTTTTAGTGGCATGTGAAAACTTGTCCTGAACGTGCATCATTTGAGAATTTTAAGCACCAGCAAGAGGTAGTAGCGGCGAACACTTCAGACGCATCTTGTGCATCGACATCAACTGCATCGGTGGCGGAACAGGAAACAGAATATGTCTTGGAGACCGAAGAGAATTGGGATGATTTGCCGCCAACACCGTCTTATGATCCAAAAAAGTATGCTGCAAATGCTCAAGTGCTTCGAACATTACAAGGTCATTCAAAGTCTGTCAAAAAGCAATTTCGTGCTAAGGAACGACTACGCTTGAAAGGTATTGAGGATGCCTAAAAGGACTTGCGCTACCATAGAGATAAAAATATATGTCAAAGGTGGCAAAGCGCAACAACTAACTAATTTTTTTATTATGTATCTGACCGTTTTAATTAATTTCGATAAGGACCTTCTACAGAGGCATCGGCATGCATACTAAAGTGATAATGAAATTAAAATTGTTGTGTTGATAACCTTTGTGACATACATAATACTAGGGTGATTCAGAAATAAAAAAAAAACTTATTTCTCGGAACCATGCTCAAAAGTTTCGTTTAGAAGAAAATAAGTCAGAAAATATGAGCCCTTAATATTAATATAATAGGCCTTTCGCACGAGGCGATTTTTCAGGCAACAAAAGTTGAATGCGGAGTTGAATGAGAAGTTGAAAGTGAAAAAGTTGCTATCCCTATTCAGACGAGGCGATTTTCAATTCAACACGAATAGTTATTTACATTATTTAAAATGAATTTAAATCGCAAAATTTTATCAATTGGCGTAAATTTGGTAAGCCAAGCGTTCGTAGAAGTGCTTTTAGCGAAGCTGAAAGATAAAATAAGAGTAAAAAGTAGAAAAGAAGAAAAAGTATGTATACAGAACAGTGTTGGCATTTTTGGTACAATTGTACTTGTTTGATACAATTTCATTTACAACATACTTTCCTACTACGCAGTACTTTTTAGTACAATTTTGTAATCAATACTAAATATATATAGCTCTGAAAATTCACAGCAAGAAATTTTTTGTGTTCTCTTTGGTTCGCCTGTTCGTATTTACCTTTGTAATTTTGAAAAATGGCTTCAACGAACCAGTATAATATAGCCTAGTCAAATTTTTTAAAGAAACTTTTCGATACTAAGTTTTATTAAAACAAAATGTCGAAGTCAGCTTCATATAGAAACAAAGTCTTCGTTAGTTATAAGAAGAGATTTTCGTAAATATAATACCTTTACGGCACTCACATATTGACAAGATTTTACTATTTATTTTATTATTCTTTAATTTTAATTATCTGTTTATAAAATATAATGTATTCTTTAAGAAAAACTGTACAAACCTAAGATTAAATCTTTGCGAAACATCCAAAAACCAACATACTTTCGTAAAAATTTCGAGCTTTATTAATATTCTTTAGTTTTTAGCCCATTCAATTTTAGTATAATAAAGTTCAAGTTTAAAGTAGCTGGGACTTACCGTTGAACTTGGCATTTTTTTTGTCGACGATGTCAGCCATTTTATTCCATACGAAGTGTGTCCGATGATTTTTTTATATGGAGAAAACTAGCAACACCTTCATCAAAGAAATCTTAAAAAACTTAGTTATATTAAAATTTAATGGGCTAAAAAAACCGCACGCTCAAAATAAATCTAGGAAATCGAATTAAAAAGCTCGAAATTTTTACGAAAGTGTGTTGGTTTTTTTTTAATGTTGCACAAAGTTTGAACCTTGAATTTGGACAGCTTTTCTTAAAATATAAACCGTATTTTTACAAAAAATAATTAAAATTGAATACTATTAAGATAAATGGTCAAATCTTGTCGTAAAGTTTTGATAAGCACTTGAAATGCTATTAAAATGTCAAATTTTAGTACTGAATCCAAAGGAAAATGTCTTTTTATCCATTAATAATAACTTAGATATGCTTTTTGTTAAGATATATACCTGAAAATGTGTGCATACATATTTGCGTTAAATGCAGTACATGTGCACGTAGAATCAATTTGTAAAAGTGTAAACTACGTAAACGTATGTACATAAACAATAAAACTTTCTCATGAATACCATAAATTCATTGGTCTTGTAGGGAATGTACTAAGAAAATATATGAGCGAATTAAAAAGTGTATACAATTTATAGCCGAAAAGTACATTTTTTGTATAGATTTCGTACTGAAGGAACAATTTAATTTCCCAACACTGATACAGAATGTAAACAAACACAGGGTTGCAAGGAAAAAAAGTTGAACGAGCTCAAAGTTGGCTGGCGACCAACTTTGTTGAAAGCGATTAGTTGAAAGGCCGTTCGGACGAGGCGATTTTTGCTTTCAACTAAAAGTTGCCTGAAAAATCGCCTCGTGCGAAAGCCCTATTATGGGGATAAAGTTTCCAGAGGTGAAATTTTAGGTAGCACACAATTTCAAACACGCATGGTTGCTTTTCAGCACTCATGAAAGAAACTTAAGAAATATTTGAAAAAAAAAATCATATAGTACATTAATTTTGAAAGAAATACCATATAATGTATGTACTCTGGTTAATAATATCAAAAAATGTATTAGAACCACTGTTTAATGTTATATTTGATACAAATTAATATTGCTGCCCCGAACGCTCTGCGCCTTGCCACTGAATAATAGATTTACTTAAAATTACATCCCTGGTCCTTGTTCTTTCTGTATCGCATCGTGGTGAATTCACATTTCTCAGGAATTTGACAACAAAACAAAACCAAGCGAGTATTTTATTTGCTAATTTTTGCGATTTCTATTGTTTAATGTAAATTTGTCTTTTTAGGATATGTCGAGCCAACAAAGAAGGCGCAGTTGGAAAATTTAGTAATGAAGTAGTAGGCTTATTTGGAAAATTATGCCGATAAACAGGATGGAATTTGGGAAAGTAAGTGCATGGTTGCAGCATATCTATGTATAAAAAGTATTTAATTAAATTGTTTATAGAAATGTTATAAATCGAGTGGCTCATTTACGATGTGCTCCAAACATTTGGCGAACTTTTTTCGCCTTTTCAACGTGCTAAGTAACAAGTTAAGATGACTGCCATCATGGGCCGGTAAGAAACCGCAAGCAAAGGGCAGACAACCTTCCAGGAAGCTGCCTCCTGTCCCCGAGCCGAAGCTGCAGTTCAGCAAGAGCAGGTCAGCAAATTGCTACCCTGATCAAACGTAAACTAAAGCGCTCTGCTGTGAGTGCACTCCGTAAATGTGAAAACTTGGTGCATGCTGAGAAATATCAAACAGGAAAACTCCGTGATGGACGCCGTGAGATGGAGTAACGCTGTGTGGCAAAGAAATGCGGCCAATTCGACGGGCCTGAAAAATCCAAATTGGCTTTTGTGATCCGCATCCGCGGTATCAACAAAGTTGCACAAAAAGTGCGTAGTTTTACAGTTCTGTCTTCGCCACATTAAAACGGTGTGTTCGTCAAATTGAGCAAGGCAACCATTAATATGCTACTTATGCCGAACCCCCTATATGGGGTTATCCAAATCTTAAATCAGTTTGTGAATTGATGTACAAACGTGGAATGGTCAAGCGTGTCCCAATCTCTGCTTTGTGATCGAACGCAAATTTCGCGAAGCGCACGAAATTCAGTGCGTTGATTCACTTCAAGAAAGCCCCCAACTTCCTGTTGCTATTCAAGCTCAACACATCAACCCGAGGCTGGCGCAAGAAGGCTAATCACTACGTTGAGGTTGGTGATTTCGGTAGCCGTGAGGATAAGATCAACAAATTGCTGCACAAGATGGCTTAAAGAAATTGTTGTTCTGTATTTAAGTAGACAATATAATTTGGCACATCTTCAAAAGACGCCCAAGCAAAAAAAAAAAGAAAATTAAAAAATTCCTGAAGTTGCCTTTTCACGGGTCGATTTCTGTCGACTGGAAAATTTACTTAAGATATGGACTAGCCAAAACGCTTACATTTTACGGTTGAATTGCAATTTACACGGGTAGATTTTGGTTAAACGACAAAAATCGACCGTGTAAAGGCAGCTTAAATAACGTTCAAATTAATCACCCCCTTTGAGATGGAAAATACCAATAACCATTTCATAATTTCGAAAATTATTCCATTTATATTTGTTCTTGCATTTTCCACACCACTTGTGAGGTATGCTTTTACGCGCGTTACCGATTTTTTTTTTTAATGTGCTCGGTTGCCCAGGAGGCCTATTTTCACCTTTACAACTTAACTTAAACAGAATTAAAACTAAAGCATGCAATATATAAAGAAAATTAAAAGTTGTCTTACATCTAGTAAACTTAAAAAATTGCACATTAAATTCATTTTTCATTATAAAATAAAATTAAATATCACAATTCAGTTTACAAAATGTGGTCTGTTTGCACCCACAGTAAGTTCCCATGAAGCCTAGCCTAAATTCAGAATTGAAAAAAAAAACGAGCAAATGGGGTCGGAAACTACTAGCCCTAAAAGCATAATGTGGAAAATGTTTGAAGAGCTGCGAAATTGCTCGTTAATGATGCACCCAGGGTTGCATTTATTGTCTATGAAAATATTTCGTTAAGCGTTCCAAAATTAGCTCCGAGCAACTAAAAGTTGGTTAAGCTTAAATGAAATAGTTTTTTATTAAATATTTATTCCTGGTATTTAGTAAAAAACATCAATACTAATGTATGAAAAACAAAACATCAATGCTAATGTATGAAATGAAGTAAATAAAAATCTACGAATACATTCCATGAATATTTTGTCATAGAGCCATAACTTTGTCAGGCGTTGGTACCTACGTATATAGAATTAATGCGTTGGAGAGAGATAAATATACAAGTTCAACGCGCTAATTTAGGTATCCTTGTATGTATATACCTGTTACTCGTCTGGCATATACTCCAACTGCGAAAATAATGACAATTATAATTTATGTAGATCCCTGCATAAAAGATTGTCACAAGTTACTTTCGGTAACTCACGATTGAAGTTTGGAATGCAATTTCTCAGAAACACGACTACAGATTTTCTCCAAAGTGTCGGAGAATGCTATGTACTAGTTCATGAAATTCTTAAATTATCTTATTTTTTTTAGTTTAGTGTCAACCATTTATGAGTTTAATATAATTTTGTCGTATACGATATTTGTCAAAAAATTTGCAGTCAGTTTTAGTGATATACGCCAAAATGTGATAACAATTTTTATAAATTAACCATACTTTTTACTAATCAGCCTAATCGTGAGTTTCGCCCGAACAAAATTTCGCCAACAATTTTTTCATCCACCTGTAGTGAACACACGAAAACGAAAAGTGACCCGGTTCTAGAAAATGAAACTCATGATAAAGCTGAATATGTCGGAAACTAAAGAAGAACAGATAACTCTATTTGAAAGATCTTGATTAGTTTAGTACGACAGCAATATTAACGCAATTTGTACCAAATAAGCGAAAAAATTTTAGTCAATTAGTCGGAAACTAAAGAAGATATCCAAAAACCACAAATTGTCAAAATGACGCTTCAATTTTCCATCCAGGCGACGATATTTGAATAGGTTTATATAGTTA